GTAGTGGAATTAATCCTTATCCAATATATCCCTAATTAATTAGGTAATATCCCGTTACCCAATAATTAACCAATTACCCACATAATTAAGAATTATCTCAACTTACTTAAAATACTACTCACTTTTAACATACCTTGTACATCTTATTATCATGGTCATGTAGTACCTTGTATGGCACTAGTCCATAAATACCGGGTATTATGGCTCGTACCGTATTTTATCCTAAATCAACAACCTTCATCGAAACTCATTTTCTTTGATTCGTTTACCCTTTTTCTTTCATGACACTTACTTATTGCTTGTTATAAATAGCATAAATGCTTATAATCTCAAGAAAATCACACCCCTGAGTCTACGTCAATTAACTGAAGACGAAACTTTAACGTACAAAAATGCGAGATGTAACACCCTTCCCCCTTAGAAACATTCATCCTTGAATGTTTACTCTTAGAGATTTTGGAAAAATGTTTGCTAGAGTCTTCTCTATACAGTAGACTAAAGCTAACCTGTATGCAGCCAAAAAACATACTATACATACCACACATAGCCAATGTCTATAAATAGCAACACTTGGCTTCACACAGCTGTCCATCATAAATTCTGAAAGTCAAAAATAAGAGCTTACCTGATGACCTACTGGCCTGGATAGAGCTGTACTGAGGTATCCCACCTCGAGCCATATCTTCATTTAGAAATAGGTGGGGGTATTTAGACTTCATTTCTTCCTCCGCCTCCCACGTCATCTCTTCCACATTCTTGCTTCTCCATAAAACCTTTACGGAGGCTACCTCCTTATTCCATAGCTTGCGGATTTATCGGTCTAGGATAGCAACCGAAATTTCCTCGTATGACAAGTCCTCCGTAATTTGTACATCATCTGTGGGCACCACTCGGGTAGGATCACCAATGCACTTTCGCAACATAGATACATGAAAAACCTGATGGATAGACTCCAATTCCGAGGGCAATTCTAACTCATAAGCTACTTGGCCCACTCTCCGAATGATCCTATAAGGCCCAATATACCATGGGCTAAGCTTGCCTTTTTTGCCAAACCTCATCACGCCTTTCATAGGTAACACCTTTAAGAATACCCAGTCATTAACCCCGAACTCTAAGTTTCGTCGCCGCACGTCAGAACATGACTTGTGAAAACTCTGGGCTATCAACAGTCACTCCCGGATAAACTTTACTTTCTCTACGGCCTGCTTAACCAGGTCTGGCCCATGTAACCCAGATTCTCCAACATCAAACCACCCTATAGGAGATCTGCACTTACGCCCATACAAAGTCTCGTACGGAGCCATCTGGATACTGGAGTGGTAATTGTTATTATATGTAAACTCGATAAGAGGTAAATGTTCATCCCAACTTCTTTTAAAATCCAACACACATGCTCGTAACATATCCTCAAGACTCTAAATTGTGCACTCGACTTGTCCATCAGTATGTGGATGAAACGTTGTGCTGAGATTCACCTGAGTCCATAGACCTCTCTGAAATGACCTCCAAAAATGTGTTGTAAACTAGGCCCCACGGTCAGATATAATAGATATTGGTACTCTGTGTAGATGCATTATCTCCTTAATATATAACTGTGCATAATCTTCTGATGTATATGTAGATCTGACCGATAGTACATGAGCTGATTTCGTGAGCCTATCGACTATCACCCATATAGAATCGAACTTACGATGAGAACGAGGTAAATGCGTGACAAAGTCCATGTTTATCACCTCCCATTTCCACGTCGAGATCTCTATAGTCTGCATTAGCCCTTCGGGCTTCTGGTGCACCTTCGCCTGCTGGCAACTAGGACACTAAGTGACAAACTCAGCAATGTTCTTCTTCATATTGTTCCACCAGTACACATCCTTAATGTCATGGTACATCTTCGTCGACCCAAGATGAATGGAGTACCACGAATAATGTGCCTCTGACATAATCATGTCTCGTAGCCCTGCAACATCTGGAACACACAGACGGCCCCTATATCTGAGAACTCCATCTCCCTTGAGCTATAACAATGGCTTCTTCTGCTACGGAACTCACTCAACCAACTCTGGGTCCTCGTACTGCCTTTCCTTTACTTTCGCTATGAGAGATGATTTTGCAGTATTTTGGAGTACAACTCTACGATCGCTAGAGTCTACTAACCGATCCCCCAAATAAGCCAATTGATGAATCTCTCTAGTTGCAAATTCAACTCTTTTTTCTTGAAGATATATTACAGGCTTATATGATATGTGAATACATCAACATGAACACCATAGCAATAATACTGCCATATCTTTAGTGCATGGACAACCGCAGCTAACTAGAGGTCGTGGGTCAGATAATTCCGCTCGTGCTTCCTCAACTGCCTTGAAGCATATGCAATTACCTTCCCATGTTGCATCAGGACATATCTTAACCCGACACCTGAGGCATCACAATACATGGCATAACCATCTGGGCGCTCTGGAAGTGTTAGAACTGGCATTGAGTTCAACCTGTTCTTAAGCTCTTGGAAACTCTGCTCGCAAGCCTCTGTCCACTAAAACTTAGTTGCTTTCTGCATCAACTTCGTCAATGGTGCCGAAAGGGAAGAAAAACCCTCTACGAACCTCCGGTAGTATCGTGCTAAGCCTAGAAAGCTACAAACCTTTATCGGAGTGGTAGGTCTAGGCCAGGATTTCACAGCCTCACTCTTCTGAGTGTCTACCTTTATACCTCCATCAGATACAATGTGCCCCAAGAATGCTACAGACTTCAACCAGAACTCACATTTAGAAACCTTAGCATATAATTTACTATCACGGAGGGTTTGGAGTACCGCTCGCAGGTGGTTTGCATGCTCATCCTCTGAACGTGAATAAACCAAAATATCATCAATAAATACTATCACAAACAGATCTAAAAATGGCCGGAATAGGCTATTCATCATGTCCATGAATATGGCAGGTGCATTCGCCAACCCGAAGGACATGGCAAGGAACTCGAAATGGCCATATCGAGTCCTGAATGCTATCTTGGGAATATCGTTCTCCCGAACTCTCACCTGGTGGTACCCCAACCTCAAATCTATCTTTCAAAAGAATCTAGCTTCCTGCAACTGATCAAACAATTCATCTATCCTTGGAAGTTGATACTTATTCTTAATAGTTACCTTGTTCAGCTACCTATAATAGATACACATCCTCAGCGAGCCGTCTTTCTTCCGTACAAACAGTACCGGTGCACCCA